ACATTTAGAGAGATGTACTCTGAGCTGGCCAGGCATGGTGGCTCATGCCTGTAATCCTAGGACTTGGGAGACCGAGCTGGGTGGATCACTTGAGGTCAGGAGTTCGAGACCAGCCTGACCAATGTGGGGAAACACTGTCTCTATTAAAAATGCAAAAATTAGCCAGGCGTGGTGGTGGGTGCTTTTAATCCCAGCTACTTGGGAGTCTAAGGCAGGAGAATCTCTTGAACCCAGGAGGCGGAGGTTGCGGTGAGCCAAGATCACGCCACTGCATTCCAGTCTGGGTGACAGAGCGAAACTGTCATAAAAAGAAAAAAAAAAAGGAAAAAAGAAAAAAGAGATGTACTCTGAGCTTACAGGATTTTTCCCTTGGTCACTTTGATATGTGAGGGGCTAATCAGTGGAGTTGTGATCAAAGTATGGTTTTTGGTGGCAAATATAGGTATTGGCCCTAGACAGCTCCCATATCCCCAACAAATGTTTTTTAAATTGAAGTTTGGGTGGGTCCAGTACAGTGAGAAGAATATACCTTTTTTTTTTTTTTTTTTTTTTTTGAGACAGAGACTCGCTCTGTCACCAGGCGCCAGGCTAGAGTGCAGTGGCGTGATCTTGGCTCACTGCAACTCCTGCCTCCCAGGTTCAAGCAATTCTCCTCCCTCAGCCTCCCGAGTAGCTGAGACTATAGGCACGCACCACCACATCCAGTTAATTTTTGTATTTTTTTAGTGGAGACGGAGTTTCACCACGTTGGCCAGGATGGTCTCGATCTCTTGACCTCGTGATCCGCCCTTGGCCTCCCAAAATGCTGGAATTACAGGCATGAGCCACCGCACCTGGCTGAGAAGAATGTACCTTAATTGCTTTACATAATATCTGGCACCTAGCAAGCACCTAGTAAGTGTTACCTTTCCTGCCATTTATGACCATGGTGTTTCTCACTTTGAAAACAGGTGAATGCAGTTTGAGGGAGGTGATTTCTGTAGTTAAGGGTCTCTTTTTAAGGTATCAGTTAGAGGGTATTAGAAAAAAGGAAATGCTCTGTGTGAGCTTCTGGGCACAATAATTAACTGGTAGTTGTCGTCACTCTTCTGGAGGAAATGATCATTCCTCTGTGAAATGTCTCTTGGCATTGGTATTTTGGGACATCCCATTCCCAGGGTTGTGGAGTGTGGGCCCATAGACATTATCTCTTAACGTTTGGAAGGTCTCAACTGCCAAGCTTGCCCTTATTCAAAAGGATATTCTCTGCAACAAGGCATGCCATTCTTTTCGAGGAGGTGTAATGGGCAAAACTGTTTACACAGTATTAAGTTTCTATAGCATAAGGTCATGCTTCTTTGGAAATCTCTCAGACCAGGAGTCAGGCCTTTGGTGAAGAAGAATCCTGTGTTAGCCCTTTACCCCCTACTTCATTTTAAAAACTATTATTTAACAATGAGAAACATGATAAAGCAAAGGATTAAATTAAAATGTACATACTACCCCTCATATCTTCATAATATATCTTACAGACATATGACTAATTAACAATACTATGTTTGTACAATCAGCCCCTTATTTTATAGTTATCTTAACTCTTCACTGTATGTATGGCTACTTCTATGAGTGTCCTTGGAACAATTTGGCTGGTCATGTGCCCAGATGGCATCAAGTGGACAAGTGGATCAAGGGCAGTTTTCTAAAAATGTGTGTGTATGTGGAGGGGGTGAGTCAGGAGCCTGCCAGCATGAGCTCTGTGTTGGCACTGAGATCCTGAGTGCCAGTTCTCAGCTGTCCTTGAAACTGCCCTTGACACAAGAGCATTCTCTTCTTTGGCCTAAACCTCTGTCTTTTTTGGCCTAAACCCTGTCTAAGCTTAGTCTGTATTATAATGGTTTATAAATAAACCTGGTTCTTAATTGTTTAAAACCATTTTTTTTGTTTGTTTTGGTTCTGAGTTTGAGTAAAGAAAGGGGATCTTGGCTCCCTTTAATGTCCATATCCAATCATCTTCCATTTGCAGCACCTAATTTTGAAGAAAGCAACACTGACTGAGGGAATTAGGAACAGTTTTAGTTGATAGTTGTGTGCTTAAAAAAAAAAAAAAGATATGAGAGAGAAAGCAGCCACAAGGGGAAGAGAGGTGACAGCAGAGAACAGGCCCAGGAGCTGGGAGAGAAGCCTGCTGAGGCTGAGCAAAGCTTCTGGGAGTCTTTTTGTGTTGCCAGTGAGTGGCAGGAAGGCAATAATGAGGCATTAAACACTTGTACTTTAACAAGTAGCTGAGGACCAAGTGAAAAGGGGGACCAAATACATGAAAATAACATAGAGCAGCTAGCATGTAGAGAAAGTTATAAACCAGAGTCTAGAGAAGTGCTGGTAGCAGTATGGTGAGCAGACCTAATCACGCCATTTATAGTAAGCTATATCCCCACTTTAACATTCAACTTGATCTCGTACCTTTATTTGTTTAATCTTCTTAATGGCATGGTAGAAAGAACACTAAACAGGAGACCAAGTTCTAGTCGCAACTTAGTCACTAGCTAGTTTGGGGTGAGCGTAGAATGGGGTACGGAATTTTCTTATCAAAAAATGAGGAAATTGGATTAAATGACCTAACGTATTTTCTAGCTCTAAAAATCTATAATCAGCTATGTCAAAGCCTCACAGACTTAGAACTCCCATCATATCAGATCAGAGGCTAAAATCAGTGTGTATAGGACACTGAACAGTTGATATAATGAGTGTGAAGTCAGGGAGATGATGATGGAGAAAAGCGCAATTTCATGGGATATTTGGAACATTCTGTCTTGAAGAATTGCCATCTGTGATGTCAGAGGCATCATTTTAGTTGCCTGTTAAATTCCCTGTAGAGAATTCTTACTTCCTGGTGAGAAGACCTGGGCTCTTTGGGGAGTTGGATATCTGACCTGCATTTTCAGGGGTAGAATGCAAGCTGCTCTAGCACTGACTCTCAGAGTATTGTAGTACTGGATTCTCCCTCAATACTGTGGCTCCGCTAATGCCTGTGGCAGTTGGGACACAGGTTGCCTCTTGGCCTGTGCCAGAATTGCTCTTTTACTCCTCTAATATTTATCACTTTGTCATCCTGGACTCTGAATCCCAGAGATCAAGACTAGCTGTAGTCCAGCAGAGGAGCAATAAATCATTGCTCTGACATCTTTTCCTCCAGGTTTCCTGCCCCTTAATTACCACATAGCCACTGCTGAGGCTGCATCTCCGTGTTGTGTTTTGCTAGGGACAAAAGCCCTTGTTGATTGGATGTGTGCAAAAGCTGCTTTGTCTCTAGCTATTACATTTTGCAGAGCTCCATGTGTGCTACCCATCCCTTTCTCTCGTCTCTATGAGTTTATAGAGTCTGATTGTCAGGTAATATAAAATTAACAGGGCTTGTCTAAGCTCTGGGGATTAGGTGGTGGGGTGGGCAGCTCCAACATAGCTCAGCAAGGTGATCTTCATTAAGGAGGGAAGTTTGGGTTAGTCATTTTTATGTGGATTTTAGCTAGCCTCCTTATTCCTGTGCTCCTGGTAGGAGCTAAGCAGGTTGTGTGATCCTGAGTGGGATCCTTTTTTTTTTTTTGCCCCCAGCCCAACAGAGCACTTGATCACTTAACACGCACCATTAAAAGGGCCAGCTGCCTATCATTTACCTTTTCATTATGAAATCCCAGAGAACCCAAGTTGGGGCCAGGGGTAAAGAGTTCATAAATGAAGATGCCTATTTCTTTCATCCCTGGCAAGGCTTTTTTGCTATTTGAGGGGAAGATTTAGGCTTTAGAAACAGAATGTGGGTGAAGCCAGCCTCTTGTACTTTCCTTGCCTGCTGTTTCTTTACTGTACCTGTGCTTTTAAAGGATTGAGAGTGAGGGGTGTTGTGTGGCAGGCAGTAAGAGTCTGGAGAGTCTCACTCCTACTCATCATTCCCTGCTGTTCCAAATCAAAGCTCACATCTCTTCTTTAAGAGTAGTAAACTTCACACAAAACTCCGACAGCATGGGAGAATGAACTTCTTTGCTGACAAAGAAGCAGATATGGTCCTAAAAAAAGGGAGGTCAGGCCTTTTCTTGGGTCGGTGGAAGGTGGGAGTTTGAGGGGGAGAAGATGGAAGGGCCACAGATTGCCTGCAGCTGCTGAATTCTTTTATAGTATCCCATCAAGTAGGGGAGGTAGGTACAGGAGCATTATCTGAGATGGGCAGAGAAGCAGGATTCATTTCATGGACCAAATGTGCTAGGTGAATGAGTATAAGGTAATTGGTAACTTCTTTTATGCTTAAAATTTGTTTGCAAAAATGTCTGAAGCTGCACTGTTAACCTAGGGACTTGGCAACAAACCTCTTTACTGAGGTTGCTTGGGTTTTAGCAATCTCTCCCCTCACTAAGGATTGCCAAGTAGAGATTTCAGTAAATGTTGTCACTGTCAAGAGAGGTCAGTGCAAGCTACACTTTGTTTGAAGAGTTAGAACAGTTAAAGGCTTTTTTTCTCTTTATGAGCTCTCCTCACCTAGAGCTGCAGCCCAGCTGTAGTTCTACAGTATAGCTGCCACATCTGGTGACCAGTTAGAATGGATACATGTTGCTCTTAGCATTGATGCCTGAAACGCATACATGTCTAAAGCCTGGTGATAATAGAAGCTAGCAGCTGAGAGTGGAATGGGGACCCTCATTTTCACCTGTAAATTGAGCAGATTTGATGGGGAAATCACCATGTGGGAGTAAATTTGAAACACCAAGATGTCAGTTTTATAGTCAAATTTCTGAGCTTAATTGCTATTTAAGAAGTGGGAAAAGAAGTAGATATTTAAAAACCTTCCATGAGCAGATAAGCATACACGTGCTTGGGAAGGTGAGTGCTTTCCTTAGATATACCTACCTTATCTGCTTTTTAAAAGACCTTGGTGGCTGAGACTTACTCAAACTGGATATTTTTAGAGCTAGTCTGTTTTTATTTAGCTTTATTAGTTGTGGCGTGAATAGATGTTGATATCTCTTTCTCTCTCTCTTTTTTAAAGCCTTGATAAATTTGCTGAAGTTCCTTATGTCAAATGAGACTGTACTTTTGGCCAAACACAACATTTTTACATTAGCCCTTATGGTGAGTATCAAAACAAGTATTTATTTTTCTGAAGCCATATGCTAAGGCAGAAATATACTGGTTTGAAACAGGAGCTGTTGGTTTGTCCAGGGACCAAGTCATAGAGGGAACCAGGCATATATATATATATATATATATTTAATCAGAATCTGGACTAGTGGTCCCTACTCTCACCTATGTCTTTGGAAAACTCTGCATGACTCTCTTTCCTTCATGAAAGTATGTTGTCTGGCAGGGGCAGGTATAGATTAGATCTCTGTGTCTGAATAGTGAGCCTTGGTCCCAACTGAGACACTGCACTGTAGACTACTGCGGTCTCTATGTTGGTAAATAGCAAAGCCTCTGAGGGTTCCATCATGGCTGTACTTGGTTTCTGAGGGACATTGCAAATGCTTATTTATCTGGCTGGTTATTTGGAATAGAAGGAAGCCATTGTGCATTTTGACTGTCTTCTTAGGATATTATACAATGTGTTCTTAAATGTTTAACATTAGAGGGAAAAAAAGTCTTGATTCATAGCATTTGCTGATTTTCATTGTAGAACTACACCCACCCTGGCCAATTTCAAGCTATCAATGTGACATCAGAGTCATGCAGAGTTGGGAAGCAATGTGCAGTAGCACACCATTATGTGGTGTTTCCACCACACAGATATAATAGGTATAAATCTCCAGAGCATAGGTTATAGTAAAAGGTAGAAAATAATTAGGGAAGTGATAAGTTTTTAGTATTTGCTGCTTTCATTTTAATATAATTTATTTAATTATATGTTTATATGAGTGAAATTTTAAATAATGGCTGTGTTTAACCACTGGCTTATAAAATTCCTGAAAATTTTATAGTCATCTCTTATAAAACAGTAAGAGCTGGCTACAGCATACCACTGATAATTTCTGGTCTGCATAGCATGATGCCTATATATGGGCCTTTGCTTTGTTTTTAGATTGTGAACCTATTTAATATGTTTATCACATATGGCGACACATTTCTGCCAACCCCCAGCAGCTATGATGAACTTTACTATGAGATTATCCGCATGCACCAGAGCTTTGACAACCTCTACTCCATGGGTAAGCTGCCTTTTCTTTTTACTCCTCTCTCCATCAGTTGTCTAGCTTTTGGCATATAAGAGGAAAAGACTACAAAAGATTCTCCTCTAGTTGTTTGGTGCCCTGTGTGGCACACAAATATATAGCCTCCTCTTCTTAGGCAATAGGAAGGTACATGTGGGCCTTTTTGCCTTTAGGAATTCAGATTTCATCTCAGTGTAAAGCTGGTTATTTTATCCCTTTGTTGATGTTTGTGAGAGAGAGAGGGAATAGGGAGGCTTGTGGATTCATTGAATGCCAGGGAGAAGGAGGTGAAAGAGTGGGTGGGAATTGACAGCAGCAAATAAAAGAACTTGGATCCCAGAACATTGTGTAATTTGAGGATGTCCAGGATTTTAAGGAATCTTGGTGTACCTATGTATTTTTAGCATAACTTACAAGTGGAAGTGGGCATTAGATAAAAATCTTTTTTTGCAAATCTTTTGGTGATTGGCTCACTGAAAATGTACTCTCTAGCTAGGGCAAATATAACTGATTTCTAAAAGAAGACATATGTCCCTGTAAGTTTGGGATAAGGGCTTATTTAATTCTACCTGTAGTTTAAAGGTTAAGGAAAAATCTCTACAGATTGCACAGAAACAGCCACTCAGTAAAACTATCTTATTTATTTATTTGTTTAGAAATGGAGTTTTGCTCTTGTTGCCCAGGCTAGAGTGCAATGGCACGCTCTTGGCTCACAGCAATTTCCGCCTCCCGGGTTCAAGCGATTCTCCTGCTTCAGCCTCCCAAGTAGCTGGGATTACAGGCATGTGCCACCACACCTGGCTAATTTTGTGTTTTTAGTAGAGACAGGGTTTCTCCATGTTGGTCAGGCTGGTCTCAAACTCTGACCTCAGGCGATCCACCCACCTTGGCCTCCCAAAGTGCTGGGATTACAGGCATGAGCACTGCACCCAGCCAAACTCTCTTATTTTTAAAACCCAAACGTATTAGCTTTATTGAAGTATAATTTATATATAATAAACTGCACACATTTTAAATATACAAATTTTAATGAATCTTGACATATGTGTATGTATGTGAAACTATTACAGTGGTCAGGATAATAACCTTATCTGTCACCTCCCAAAAGTTTCCTTGTATCTCTTTAGAATCCTCTCATGTTTCCTTCGTCACCTTCACCCACTGTACCTCATCCCTGGGCAACCACTGATTTGCCTTCTGTCACTGTAGATTAGTTTGCTTCATCCTTTGTGATGAGATTAATTGTGAAAACCCCAACCTCTCTTTGGGACTCCTATATCATGAGAAAAAAGGAGAGGATTTGAAACAAGTACCAGGAGAAAGAATAGAAGCAGCAGTGGAAAAGAAGGGTTGCCTGGGAGGAAAATATTTTTTTCTAGTATACTTTATTTTTTAGAGCAGTGAAGAAAAACTTTCAAAAGAGCTTAGTAAGAGAACCTTTGCTATAATGTCTTAGGCAGTGCAAGTAGGGCCTTGTATTAGTAGGATGTTTTCAGTGGCAAGTGTCAGAAAACTCGGACTTAAAACTATCTTTTTTTTTTTTTTTTTTTTTTTTTTTTTTTTTTTGAGACAGAGTCTCACTCTGTAGCCCAGGCTGGAGTGCAGTGGTATGATCCTGGCTACTTGTAATCTCCGCCTCCCGGGTCCTGGTTCAAGCAGTTCTCCTGCCTCAGCCTCCTGAGTAGCAGGGATTACAGGCATGCGCCACCATGCCCATTGGATTTTTGTATTTTTAGTAGAGACGTGGTTTCACCATGTTGGCAAGGCTGGTGTCGAACTCCTAACATCATGATCCACCCACCTCAGCTTCCCAAAGTGCTGGGATTACAAGCGTAAGCCACCGCACCTGGCCAAAACTATCTTAGAGAGTAGGAAAATTATATAACAGCTCTACAATGGTATGATCAGTTGCTCAACAATGTCTGCAAGGACCCAGGTTTTAAAAATATCTCTGCTCTCTCATTCTCATTGTAATAGCGTTAGCATCAAGTCAGTTGTCCATGCAACAGCAAGTTTCAGTTGTCCCATCAAGACCTACCTCTTTATTTTAGGAGCTTGGCAGCCTTACATAAGAACTCTCTAATTGACTTCATATTGGCTAGATGTGCTCAGGGTACCCTAGTGTGGTTTGCATCTGCCTGGGTTCACCAACTTCTTGAGAATGTAGAATGTAGAGTTTTCCAAGAGTGGAGAGCTGCCCCAGAGGTTTTAGCACTCATCAGTAGATGAATAAAGATGCTTTTCAATGAGGAAAGGAAAGAGTTAGAGTAGGGGAGATATTTTATAAAAGTCTAACATACTAGCTCAACTGGGCCATATGTAACTTCTCAAATGAGGTAAAGCCTTGTGGTACAGCAACAATATAAGAGAAGATACCTGTGGATGTCCAAACCTGCCAAGGGAATAAAAATGTTAACCAGGAGGACACAAATAGGAAAGTGAAAATTTTCACCAACTGAAACATAGCAAACAATAGGAAGTAACATGCTTCAGTGCTCTGTTTTATATAAAGTATAAACTTCTGGTGAAAAAAAAATTGCTTTTTATTAACAAGGTTTGTGAGGCATAATTTATATATACAGCAAAAACCACCCTTTTAAATGTACAGTTTTGAGTTTTGACAAATGCATATAGTAGTGTAATTATCACAAAAAAAATCAAGATATAGAAGAGTTTCACCATTGAAATAAAGCAGTGCTAAGCAGGAGTGATTTTTCTCACTAATGTTTTGTTGTTTTCATCATGAAACTCTTGCATGTATTCTGTTAGATTTATCTTAATGTGTTTCATGGGGTTTGGTGCTATTGTTAATAGTATTTTTGAAAATTTTAAATTTTAACTGTTCATTGCCAATATGCAAAAACACTACTGTTTTTAAATTTTTTTTTATATAACAGCTTTATGAGATATAATTCACCTACCACATAATCTGCCCATTAAAGGATACAGTTTGATGAGTTTTAATATATTCAGAGTTGTACTACCATCACCACAATGAACTTTGAAATATTTTCTTTTCTTTTTTTTGAGATGGAGTCTCACTCCCGTCACCCAGCCTGGAGTGCAATGGTGTGATCTTGGCTCACTACAACCTCTGCCTCCCAGGTTCAAGTGATTCTCCTGCCTCAGCCTCCCAGGTAGCTGGGATTATGGACATGCACCACCATGCCTGGCTAATTTTTATGTTTTTAGTATAGATAGGGTTTCACCATGTTGGCCAGACTGGTCTTGAATTTCTGACCTTAGGTGATCTGCCCACCTTGGCCTCCCAAAGTGCTGGGATTACATGCGTGAGCCACTGTGTCCAGCCCTGGAGCATTTGCATCACCCCAATGAGAAACCTCCCATTTACTGCAATCTCCTGAGCCCTAGGCAATTACTAATCTACTCTTTGTGTCTATAGATTTGCCTATTCTGGACATTTTATATAAATGAAATCATACACTATGTGGTCTTTTGTGACTGGCTTCTTTTATTTGGGATCTTTTCAAGGTTTATCCATGTTGTATCCATGAAGTAACAGTAATTGTTCCATTTTCTCTGTGGAACAATATTACACTGTATGGATATACCACATTTTATTTATCTATTCATCAGTTGGTAGACATTTAGGTTGCCTCTACTTTCTGCTATTATGAATTATCCTGCTATGAGCATCCATGTACAAATTTTTGTATGGGCATGTTTTCATTCTCTTGAGTATATACCTAGGAGCAGAATTGCTGAGTCATATGGTAACTCTGTGTTTAACCTTTTGAGGAACTGCCACACTGTGTGACTGTCGTCTCTTTTCCAAAGTGGGTGTACCATTTTACACAAGCAAGAAACAATACCGATTTTTAATCTTGTATCCTGTTATTTTGCTAATTTTGATCTTGTATCCTGTAATCTCACTTATTAGGTTTAGTAGTTTTTGTAACCTTTTGGGATTTTCTACATAGACATTCATGTTGTATGTGAATGTTGTGTGCCTTTTATTTCTCTTTCTTGCCTTATTTTACTGGTTACGACCTCCACTACTCTGTTAAATTAGAGGGTAAGGATGGACATACTTGACTTGTGTCCAGTCTTAAGGTGAAAAGATTAAGGTTATCCTCCATTAAGTGTGTTATTAGCTGTAGGTTGTTCATAGTTGTCATCTGTCTGGTTGAGGACATTTCCTTTCATTTCCTTAGAATTATTGTCATTAATGAATGTTCAATTTTGTTAAACATCTTCTAGCATTTATTGACATGATTACATGATTTTCCTGCTATTGTCTGTTAGTAGCGATTGACTGATTTTTAAATGTTGACCAACCCCACATGATTATAACTTACCATTTTTACATATTTTTGTATTTGATTTGGAAGTATTCATGAGGTATATTGGTCTGTAGTTTTATTTTCTTAAAATGTCTTTTTCTGGTTTTGGTGTTAGATAATTTTGGCCTCATAATAATATGAATTGGGAAGTGTTCTCTCATTGCTCATCTTCTAAATTCTGGAAGAATTTGTTTAAGAGTGGTTTGTTTATTCTTTAAATGTTTGGTAAGATTTGCCAGTCAAGCCACTGCGTCTAGAGTTTGCTTTCTTGGAAGATTTTAAACTATAAGTTCAATTTATTTAATAGATACAGGACTATTTAAGTTATCTATTTATTTATCAGTAACCTTTGGAAGTTTGTATCTTTGAAGAAATTTGTTTTATTATGTTGTCACTTTTATGGGGTATACAGTTGTTTGTAATATTCACTTTTAATGTCTGTAAGGTCTGTACTCAGCTTTCATTCTCTATATTGGTAATTTATATCTTCTTTTTATTTTTCTTCAGTCTGGATAGGTGTTTATCAAGTTTATTGATTCCTCCCCCCCTCAGAGAACCACCTTTTTATTAATTTTTTTTCTCTGTTGTTTTTCTGTTTTATTGATTTGTGCTCTTTATTTTATTTTCATTGCTTGCTTTGAGTTTAATTTGCTCCTCTTTAGCTAATTTTTTAGAGTGGAAGCGTAGTTCACC